TATAGTGATAGCAATGATTTAGCATAAATCGGAATGGGTGATAGCATTGATAAAGCATAACAGAAGTCAGGTGATAACAACGATTTAGCATAATACAGGTAGGGTGATAGCAATGATTTAACATAACACAGGTAGGGTGATAGCAATGATTTAGCGTAACACAGGTAGGGTGATAGCAATGATTGAGCGCAAAACAGGAAGGCTGAAGGCAATGATTAAGCATAACACGGGTAGGGTGATAGCAATGATTTAACATAACACAGGTAGGGGGATAGCAATGATTGAGCGTAACACAGGTAGGGTGATAGCAATGATTGATCGTAACACAGGTATGGTGATAGCAATGATTTAGCGTAACACAGGTAGGGTGATAGCAATGATTGAGCGTAACACAGGTAGGGAGATAGCAATGATTGAGCGTAACACAGGTATGGTGATAGCAATGATTTAGAGTAACACAGGTAGGGTGATAGCAATGATTTAGCGTAACACAGGTAGGATGATAGCAATGATTGAGCGTAACACAGGTAGGGTAATAGCAGTGATTTAGCGTAACACAGGTAGGTGATAGCAATGATTGAGCGTATCACATGTATATGGTTATAGCAACATTCAGGTTAAAATGGATCGAGTGATAACAATGATAAGAAAAGGGCAGCAGGTGAATTGATCAGAAGTCACTGAACTGCTCGCAATTGTCAATACATATTTGTTCACTAATTCCACGGTCGTTTTTCTTCCTTAATGCGACATATTAGAAACATGAGGCAATCAAACTGATTCTTCGGACTGTATGAAGGACATTTTCTGTAACTCCAAATTCAAGACTGTTTCAAATTCACATGGTGAAAAAGGGACAAAATGAAAGCGGTTATCGGTCTTCAATTTTGTTTTTGACAAATTTTATTCATTTTTATCTTATCATTTTATAGACAGTTAACACATCGGGAACATGTAACCTGTTTAGATCTATCTCCCGGGAACATGTTGTGTTCCTATTCAAGAGCATCCTCGTAATCGCAAGGCTTACGCTCACTTACTTTTTCTACACCCCAGTTTTTTTTGGTGCTCTAATTATCAAATAATGGTATTGGGGTTCATGTTAGAGACTAGTTGTTTTTATGTATCACATACATTAATAACAACAATAATTGTCAAAATCATTTAATTCGTTAACATCACTAATTTATCACTGTATTGGTCAGTCACTATACAGCCCTACCAAATTCAGATGACATCATCATTAGACACGAAAGCCATTGTCATACGGTTACCTTCACCATTAACATGACCTCAAAACTGTTACATTGCGTGTCACGTTCCCTCCCCGGAATATTGCTTTTATATTCAATGTTTACGACATAAACACTAATTTTAACTAAATGCTGAAGTTAATTAATTTCTTTGAAATTACCATATTATAAAATTGGTTGATAGAAGCATTGAACTGCTTTCAGTTGGCATTCATACGATACACAAATACCAACTGCACAAAGCTAGCACACCTCAATAACAAATCTGCTTCGATGCAGTTGACATTCAGATTATCTCTGTTTAAATAACTCTACTTTAGCACATATCATAAGCAAAAAATATAATACAAAATAATGTTCTGATTATTTAAACAATATATGATTCAAATGGACATGAATGACAACATTAGATCGGCTTATTTTAGATGTAATGAGATGAATGTTGTTAAACTCAAATGTCTCCTACACCAGAAGTCAATCTAGCAGAACTCAAAAGCTGTCAAATGTTGGAGACCTCACGGTCGGAACTTGTCAATAATCCTTAGAGGGGGTATCAAGAGGTTATTCACGCTAGTGTCATTTGTCTCCGTTTTGGTTTAAAATTTCTAAATATAGGTATCACAGTTTAACTGCATACGAAACATTGATCTTCCTAAAAACATTATTGACAGTCGGTGCACATGTCCCTTAAATATGGTCTATGTGAAACATACTGAGGAGAGTTCACAAAATATTTGCCACACAGGGACAAGGACACTGCTGCCGCTTTTAGCGAGCAATACATTATATGTCTATTTTAAGAACAAACATCTAATTCTTAGTCCGGGTTTACACATTAAGACTCACGCTGAACAACAGTTTGAGCACGAACATCTTATATAAAGGAACACAAACAAAAACAAAAACAAAAAAACCCAATGCCACGTGTTAATAGAGAAATCTAGCCACGCCATTGTTGGATGCTAGACAGCAAAGCTTGTGAGACAGTCGGTCAATATCAAGAAACACACGACCTACGATAAATTCAATTTATTTAGTAGTCTTAAATTTAAGCAAATCCTTACGTCATTGTACTTTCTCCTGATGCATTCCACTTTCATATAGTAAAAGTCGAGTTATGTGCCCTCCCCTGAAGAATCGGGGGCTTTTGTGTCTTCTGCTAAGGAGACATTAAAAACACAATTGATCTGCTGCCCACCATTTCAATGATACAAAAGTGGAAGATATTTGTGCAATATGCTAAGAAGTAACGGATCTGTCCCTAGTGAATTAGCTGTGATGTCAGCAATAAGAAGCAGCGAATCTGCCCCTAGTTAATCAGCTGTTATGTCAACAATAATAAGCAACGAATCTGCCACTAGTGAATTGTCACCAATAAGAAGCAGTGTATTGGTCCCTAGTGAATTAGCTGTGATGTCAATAATAAGAAGCAGCGAATCTGCCCCTAGTGAATTAGCTGTGATGTCAATAATAAGAAGCAGCGAATCAGTCCCTAGTGAATTAGCTGTGATGTCAATAATAGGAAGCAGTGAATCTGTCCCTCGTGAATTAGCTGTGATGTCAATAATAGGAAGCAGTGAATCTGTCCCTCGTGAATTAGCTGTGATGTCAATAATAAGAAGCAGCGAATCAGTCCCTAGTGAATTAGCTGTGATGTTAATAATAGGCAGCAGCGAATCTGCCCTTAGTGAATAAGCTGTGATGTCAATAATAGGAAGCAGCAAATCTGTGCCTAGTGAATTAGCTGTGATGTAAATAATAGGAAGCCGCGAATCTGTCCCTAGTGAATTAGCTGTGATGTCAATAATAAGAAGCAGCGAATCTGTCCCTAGTGAATTAGCTGTGATGTAAATAATAGGAAGCAGCGAATCTCCCCTTAGTGAATTAGCTGTGATGTCAATAATAGGACGCAGCAAATCTGTGCCTAGTGAATTAGCTGTGATGTAAATAATAGGAAGCAGCGAATCTGTCCCTAGTGAATTAGCTGTCATGTAAATAATAGGAAGCAGCGAATCTGCCCTTAGTGAATAAGCTGTGATGTCAATAATAGGAAGCAGCGAATCTGTCCCTAGTGAATTAGCTGTGATGTAAATAATAGGACGTCGCGAATCTGTCCCTAGTGAATTAGCTGTGATGTTAATAATAGGAAGCAGCGAATCTGACCTTAGTGAATTAGTTGTGATGTCAATAATCGGAAGCAGATAACCTGTCCCTAGTGAATTAGCTGTGATGTCAATAATAAGAAGCAGCGAATCTGTCCTCGTGAATTAGCTGTGATGTCAATAATAGGAAGCAGCGAACCTGTCCCTAGTGAATTAGCTGTGATGTCAATAATAGGAAACAGCGAATTTGTCCCTAGTGAATGAGCTGTGATGTCAATAATAGGAAGCAGCGAATTTGTCCCTAGCGAATTAGCTGTGATGTCAATAATAGGAAACAGCGAATCTGTCCCTAGTGAATTAGCTGTGATGTAAATAATAGGACGTCGCGAATCTGTCCCTAGTGAATTAGCTGTGATGTAAATAATAGGACGTCGCGAATCTGTCCCTAGTGAATTAGCTGTGATGTTAATAATAGGAAGCAGCGAATCTGACCTTAGTGAATTAGTTGTGATGTCAATAATCGGAAGCAGATAACCTGTCCCTAGTGAATTAGCTGTGATGTCAATAATAAGAAGCAGCGAATATGTCCCCTAGTGAATAAGATGTGATGTCAATAATAGGAAGCAGCGAATTTGTCCCTAGCGAATTAGCTGTGATGTCAATAATAGGAAACAGCGAATCTGTCCCTAGTGAATTAGCTGTGATGTAAATAATAGGAAGCAGCGAATCTGTCCCTAGTGAATTAACTGTGATGTCAATAATAGGAAGCAGCGAATTTGTCCCTAGTGAATTAGCTGTGATGTCAATAATAAGAAGCAGCGAATATGTCCCCTAGTGAATAAGCTGTGATGTAAATAATAGGAAGCAGCGAATCTGTCCCTAGTGAATTAACTGTGATGTCAATAATAGGAAGCAGCGAATCTGTCCCTAGTGAATTAGCTGTGATGTCAACAATAGTCACAATGCTATGTTACCTTGTATTGCTATCGTTCAGGTGACCGAATTGATAAAGTAAACAAACAGCCCTTAGATAAGATTACTTATCACTATCATAATATTGATAGGCGATGTTATAATATATCCATGACTCATACATAATATGTGTAAAATATATTCTAAAATAAAAAAAAAACTTATAAATAAAATAAGACATTTTTAAAAACGTATCAAACATACACCGAACTTAAACATGCAACAAATAACAAGATAATCTTACCCAAGTGTGCTCGTAAAGACATCTTTCTGCTTCTACAATTTAATCACGAAATATTTTGATACTTTATTGTGAATATTATCACTAGCATGTGCTTACATTCACTTCTTCTTGTTTATGTTTTGAAACACCATCGTTGGTATTTTTTTCTAGAAACAATAATGAATCACAAAATAATCAGATTTTAATTAAAAATAATAAAAATAATCTTCACATCAAAACATAAAACACAAGACAGGACTAATTGGATTATATATTCAATTTCATTTTTTAAGTAGGTGGGACAATTTGTAACATTCATGTGTATTGATGTACATACATGTAAATAGATAGTTACATATGCTATGCACACACACACATATATATATATATATATAATATTTATCTACATACCAAGGACATAGATACCATGTGATGGTTATAATACACAACTGTAAGCAGTCATCATATAGAGTTATAACAACGTTAAATTCTGTTTCGTCCAAAATGAGATTAACAATCATGGAACTAAAAAAAAAACGACAGGCGCCTTAATAGTTCATAATGGGGCGCAAGAGTGAACGTTCACAACTTTTAAGCAATGCAAACTCCACCGAAGTCAAAAGTGAAAGCCACGTGAAGCGTGTCACTCCTGTGACAAGTAACCCAGCTTTTGTCATTGCTGTAGTATTCTCATCATTGGTGTTAGATTTTGGATCGGAAGCTAATGCCCAATACATCATTCAATTTACGAGAGATTTATCTAGAACTGCGAACGCAACGGGTTTTCGGCATCGAAACAGAACCGATAATTCATGCGGTAGGCATGTAAATGGAACTTCTATAGAAGAGGAATTAGGTCAAAAACTTGCAGCAAAATGGTCATTTTATTGCAATATCGCCGAACATGTACCAACCATACCAATTGTTATAGTGTTTGGAACATATTCTGACAAAATAGGTCGTAAACCATTGTTCTTGATTTCTACAATCGGCATGTCTCTACAATACGGAATTAAAGCTTTAGCAATTTACATGAAATTGCCTCTGTACTTTTTTGCCATTGCAGCCGCTGTGGAGGGATTAAGTGGCTGTAGATACCTATTCAGTATTGCAAATGACGCTAGTATTGCTGATACTACAGACAGAAATCACAATCGAACAGCAGCTTTTGCACTAGTTGATGTGTTTCTTGGCATAGGAACATTTGGAGCCAAAATTGGAACAGGCTATATGATAGCGAGCATGGGATATTTCTTCCCTGTGATATTGACTGCTGGTTTAAATGTTTTGCTGGCACTATTTATATTCAGTTTTGTGCCAGAAACGTTAGAACAGAAGACCCGAAATAAATCGACGTTTGATCTCTTCAAAGATTCTGTGACATTCTTATATGACAGGACACAGATTCACGGCAATAAACGCTGGAAATTCCTTTACTGGTTTTCTATATACATTTCTCTGGAATTTTCGGGTATGGCGGTTTCTGGTATATCAACAATCTATTACATGGGATTTCCGTTCTGTTGGAACTCAAAAAACATTGGATGGTACTCGGCGTCTTCGTCCTTGATCCATACTTCATTAGGAGCAGCATTGTTAAAACTAATCGTGAAACACAGGCGGGACGAGCCTTTAGCTATTATAGGACTCTTGTCTTCGATAAGCGACAACATCATCATAGGCATTGCTTCACAATCCTGGATGCTTTATCTTGGTAAGAACATGAAATTCTTGCCCTCCTTGTACATTCAAATGCATATCCGCACTTTCACTAATGGGCAAAACGATTGTTATCAGACGTCTTGCAGGTCACGTGGGTAACGGTTAGTTGTGGTTGTTTAGGAAACGTTTTACATATGTTATCAGTAAGTCTTAAGTCGTAAGTAAATTTCAGTAAGCACTCCACAATATTATACGAAATATCAAATGTAGATTAATTCTGGTTTGAAAACGTTTCATTAGGTATTAATTTCGTGAATTACTCAATGTGTTTCTATATGGCTGACGTTACGAATTAAAATTTGTTTACGAGAATACTGAACGCAAATGTGGGCAAAAATGAAGTTTACGCAAAATACATATAAGTTACAGTATACATGTATATTACTGATTTAGGGAACACTTTTTTGACTTTTTTAAGTTATGAGATAATAAATCTATATGAGCTCTAGGAAATTAAGTAAATTGTATGTAGATGAAGAAGACATTTACATAAAAACATCATGCTACGAATCTCACCCATAGTCTACACAATCTCACCCATAGTCTACACAATCTCACCCATAGTCTTCACAATCTCACCCATAGTCTACACAATCTCACCCATAGTCTACACAATCTCACACATAGTCTACGCAATCTCACCAATAGTCTACACAATCTCACCCATAGTCTACACAATCTCACCCATAGTCTACACAATAAGAATAATTGTTCCAATAATTTAGAATAATTACTGATCCATTCATCGACGGCTACTGTTAACGCACGTGGTTCACCGTATCGTTGACTCAAGTATGGTATGCATATTTGGAGAAGTCCTTAGTTTAGCGAAAACTCCCGCCAAAACTGATCCATTGGTATTACATCCTTGGTTAGAGTAAGACGAAAAATATTTTGTAGATTACATAATTCATTACAAAATATTAAAGACATTTTCAGATTAATACAATAGAATTATCTATTGATACATTAGTAATTTAGATAAGTCAATTTGAGAATATAATTTAAGTAATTGCAGAAACATTTATTCCTGAGTTTGTGATTTGACTGCTTTTAAAGAAATATTGAAATAAAGTAATATCCTCTAATTGATGTTAGAAGAGTTATCATAAGTTTGTATGGACTAATTAAATGCATACGTAATAAACGATTATCCAAGCTCTTTTTATCCAGGAACAAGTGTTGGTGTACTGTCCTTGTTACAAGGTGTAGTAATTCGGTCGGCCATGTCTAGTATGGTAGATGACAGTAAGCAAGGTGAGTAGTTTCTCAGTTGTATGCAGTAAAGCTACTGTTGTTTCAAGAGAGCCTGGCTTGATTGGGAAACAGCTTATTAACTAGGATGGCTTTGTATAGAGCAAAGGCTAAATCGGACCTTAAAACACTGATTGAATTACAGAGCAATCACTTGTAACATTTAAGTCGTGGTTTGATTACCAAGGCCCGACTATTCCGTCTTTTCGTATTGCAGAGTTATCTGCTCTTGTAAGCAGGTATTGATTGTTACGTCATTTGTTTGTGAGAGTAACGTCATCAAATTTTGAGAAAACGACGTAATTTTCTCACACAAACCAATGACGTAACAATCAATCCCTGCTCACGAGAGAAGATAACGCTGCAATACGCAAAGACGGAATAGTAATTCTGTCACTCATTTCTCTAAAAAGAGCTGACTGTAAACAAAGTGAGAAGTTTACTCGTTCATACAGTAACTCGATGTGCCGTGTCTAGGATAATATATGTGCGTATACCTTGTAGTAATCAGATTACAAGTGGGTAATGGCATATGACAAGGCCTTTCAGTGTTTGGTGTTCTCTAGCTAGTGATCACTTATCTTTTTATCTAGTTTTAATTTTGAGGGTTATCAAATGTTTATAAAACTAAATGGAAGTTTCCTTAATTTAACTGTAAAAATATGAGGATTTAACTTCATTGTAGTATCTTATGTTGTTCAATAAATCTATTTTTATATTCTAAAACATCTCTTCATCACAATCTTCATTTCAGGATCATTCTTTATGATATACCAACTGGTAAAGATCTTGACGGTTCTAGCTGGTAACTCTCTGTCTACCAATATATACCAAGCCACAGTCGAAATCCTCCGGGGATTCCCCTACCTGGTGGCTTCAGGCCTTTACCTTATCGTTTTAATCATGGTAATGTAAGTAAAAATCATGGAATATTTAAGGATTATTTTTTATATTATTTGTATTTGCTTGGATATTGAACTAAAACTGATGCACATTTTGCATGAATACGCTAAGCAGTTGAAATCAAACAGTTCAACCTTTTATCGATCTCCCGACAGATCAGGAAAATGAAATTAATTTCGATAAATGAACTGCCTATATATGAATATAGCAACAATAATTAGCTAAATATAATTCTATTATCTAGTTGTTAAATACTTAACATATTGTCTGAACGCGCGTATTCAAAATAGTTCGTTCATGTTTAAATGACCACAGCCGTTGATGGGCCGTTAAACATAAACAAACAAACAAACAATTATCAGCCGACAAAATCATAAAATACTACAACATTACAATTATTTTAAATGGGTAACATTGTAGATACAGGTGATACCAGTATAATTTAGAAACCGGCAAACGATGTCGTGGCTATATCGTATTTCCTGAACAGTAAGTCAAAGAGTAAACACTACTGCTAAATGTATTGGGGAAGGAAATCACATACATAACAATAAGTAGCACTTCTAATTACATGTAACGTCGAGGCTAACTGCTCTGTCATGCTGTTATTGTAATGTAACAATTCCACACCAGTATAGCTGTACACGCTGACCTCAATAGGTCTTTTATGTGCATCGAAATACATACTGCATTTCGATTTGTTGATCCTCTATTACATTTTGTAATAATCTAATGTTGGGATTGGCGAAATTAGTCACCTGACCCAGCTTTTTTTTATTCTGTTGATTAATTGACCCGCTATGTTACAGGAGGGCAATTATCTACGAGTCATACACTTGTATGTTTATCCAGAATCAAGCTAACAGGTATTCTGTCACAGATACAATGTCAAACCATCGATTGTTTACAGAACAACAGAAAGTCGGGAACTGCTGGTGAAAATTTGCAAATGATAAGAGAGTCTTTGATATCATAGAAGAATGTGTCAATTTCTTTCGTTATAATAAAACAGTTAAAACCTCCTGTATGGGTCAATATGGTGAAATGGTGACGTCGACTAGCTTGTTACGGCCTCGGTCGGCTCAGCCGTACTTGAACAGCTGTTTTCGAGTCATTATTTCTTCATTAACATATACCGGAGTATTTAACTGTATGATAGTAACTTATATCTTTTCCAGAATTCTGTATATCTCCGGAGGGGTTAGTTCAGAGACTGGAGTAAAAGGGGACAGTACTACCACCGATAAAACAAGCACTGCTGTAACACCCTATGGGTCGAACACACAAGACAACTCTATTGTCAACTCCAGTGGAAATATTTCAAGTGAGGTGTAGACACATATTGTTACTAACCATCTTATACTAGTTCTGTGTCGTATAGACCTTTAACTATGAGTGTTGCCCTCAGCGTCTGTTCTAAGGTATATTTATTTTCTATTTCTTATCCATTACAGTGATTTGAAACAGTGTTAGGTGTTTGAACTTTACAATTAAAAACATGAGTGCGACTTAAAAAACAATTTTCTCAGTGTAAATTTAGTATAGGTTTTTCTCGTTTGTATGTGACCAGAATGAAATTTTATTGTAAGAATGTACTTCTTGTAAACATACACACGTTTGTGAACGGTTAAGCGTGACATATTTATTAAAAGAATATCAAAATATTTTGAAAATTAAAGTAAAGTGTACAGTGTTTGTCGCGTTATGTTTTCAGTGACAATATAAAAGTCTATAACATATTGAATAAGGAAGTATTCTAAAACGTGGAATGTGTAATGACACTAGTTTTGTTAATAACCATGATTTTTTCTGCTGTGACTCACAAACATGCACATTCTTTTTACGCAATAAATCATGCACGTACAACTCTTTTTTCAAAAGACGCTTATGAATTGCAAATGTAAACAGTTGAGTCATTTATGACTAGTGTTCGACAATAAGAGGATTTCCAGTGGGTGTACACGCGTGTATTTACACGACTAAACGTTGCCACATAATACTTTAAACTTACACACTGAATGTTCAATAACGTTTAGATAAATGAAGATTGAATAGTAACACAATTACGAAGAAAAAATGCTAAAAACATATTTGCGTTTGCAATTGCATTTTAAAAAAGCCCCAAAAAACATATTTTTCCCTTTAGGGTTACAAATGTTCCTGGAGCTCAGTGTTTCTTGAAAGCGTGTAAAAAGTACGGGCCAGATTGAGGCCACTGTCTTAACTCATTCACCCCTGAAATTTCATAATAGACTATTCCAGCTTTTGAATTAGAAGAGTTCAAATGTGTCTTCAGGGGTGAATGAGCTTAGACATAAAATAAATATAATATCGAATGGCTGTAAAACATTGGATCCTGGATTAGATTTAATGCTTTTTTGAAAAGAAAAAAGAAACTGAGATATTATTAAAAAAAAACAAAAAAAAACCCATGATAATAAGAATAAATCCCGCATTTAGCGATTACAACCGGCTGGTATGAATGGGAATGGATTAATCAGTAAACGGGTTTTCCCGACAAGGGGGAACAACTCATATTGTATTATGGTAACGCGCTGCAAATGACATTAAAGAAAAGCAATCTTGTTGGACTAATCCTACCTGTTTTGGAAGTTCATTATGTTATACAGTCACAATTTGTTACATTATAAGCCCAGACACATACATTTTTTGCGATGCATTTGTCTTGTTTAGCCAGTTATTATCAAAAGTATCAAATATAATCCCTTTTTTTTTTTACCATACCACGTGTATTGCCGGTAAAATGTGCATATAATTTCTATATTAGAAAATTATCAAATCGAATAAATAATGCCATTTACAGTTTCGGGACGTTCCATGACCTTAGTCCAAGAGCTATATAAGGTGTTTTAATGAAAAAGGTTTTGGTGATAATGAAACAATTATATTGTATGAAAGCATAAAAATTATCTGCGTACAAAAAATGTACTAGTATATGTTTTAACATTCCTAAAAATGACATAAGCATATGTAAATCATGAGTAAGACACAAGTAAGTTTATAATCCGTGATACAAACATGCAATTCGATACTAATGTACAAAATGTAACCCATCAACGCTCTACACATAAATTATAATAACCCATAAACATAAAACACATTTATTATGTAATCTATAAACATATTGCATGTTGCATATTGCATGTATGTATATATACAATCTTTAAACACAATACATTTAGGATATATAAACATAATACATCATTATATGAAATACATAAACATAATACATATATCATCCATACACATAATACAAATATGTAAGCCGTTAATATAAAACATACCGGTAATCAATAACATGCTACGCATAGGTTAACTATTATTTGGTTTGGTTTGTTTGTGTTTTACGTCGTATTAACATCTTTGGTCATTTACGGACGTGTCAGGTTTTGGTGGTGGAGCAAAGCCGGAATTCCCGAGGAAAAAACAACGACCTGCGGTCAGTACCTGGCGACTGTCCCACGTAGGTCTCGAACCCTGAAACCATCAACACAAATGAACATATGTAATATGTAATAAATAACATAAAAAACACACACATGTTATCCTTAAACATACAACACATATGTATAAAATCATAGATATAATGCAAATACATGTATATATATTACGTAATCCATTAACAGGGTAAAATATGTAATATGTGTTCCTTAAACAATCATGCTACATATTCAAACTATATCATCCATCAACACTACACACATCTGTTATATGTAAACCTTAACGTAATACACATATTCATTGTCGTTTACGATTACATATTGCACTGTACTGTGATTTCATATTTCGTGGTAAATTTCACAGACAATAAACTTGAACAAGTACAATATGATAAGAACAAAACAAGAAAATTATAATTCATTGCAAGATATTCTGCTCTAACAAGTTCGAGTCAAATAGATATGATAACTGATTATCAAGTTTTGAGAACCCAAAATAAAAACTAGCTCGAGCTAAATGAACATGCTTACATACTCTCGTGTTGTGAGAATATCTTTTACCAGATCGTGTTAATTAAAGAAGATAACTTACTCTCTGTTGTGAAAACCTCTTTTACTAGCTCGTCTTAATTAAACAATATAACTTACTGTTGGTAAACCATAAAAACTTCCCCGAATAAGGTAGAGATAATAACCGACTGTCTTGTTATATATATATACCTATATATCTAGCTTGAGTAAAATCAATACAGTATCTACTATACTAACGAACATATTCTATGGAGCGCGTTAGCGCTCCATAAATAATATGTTCGTTGCCAACTGCGTTCATACTACCGTATATGCAGTCAAACTGAAGATCAATTCTTATATTTACATATTTTCGTACTATGATGGTACACTCAGAATAAAGCCAAATCCAATACATTTGCTTTTATAATGGTACAAAGCCTCCGTAACGTGAGTAAATCCAAACAAATGAACAGCCTACGGCCTGCGAGCAGCGATGGATCTCCAACGTTACCATTATGACGTCACAATGTAAATTACGTCATCAATAGGAAACAATGGTCTCCAAGGAATCTCACTGCCTATACGGTTAAGTATACGCAGTCACGGTTTACACAGCTTCAATGGGAGCGAATGTAAATATTATTTTGTGAACCTTTATAAGAAGCTGGGGTTGTGTAAGAGTTATAACTAATGGTCACCTTTCATGAAAGTTTATATCACTAACTCTAGTTAGATTTTCTTCATGTCCCACTCATTTAACGGTATACATAACAACCAACTATCATGGCAGGGAAAACCTATCATTCTTAAAGCATATATACGATATATATTTTTTTGGAACATAATCAGGACGCTCAAACGTTATATGACTTCATGAATACAATTTAACAAAATACTCAATAAAATATAAATAATCTTGAACTATTAAAGTAGATATAAATATGATGCGAAAACAAGAACTCAATAGCAAGCGTCATGCCAGACATGTACTGCATGTGACTTTGATTTCATAGCCTGTGGTATTCTTGGCGTGATCTACTAAAACATTCTGCACTGAGGATTCATGATAAAAAAAGGGCACGTACATGTAGTATAACGATAGATAGGCCAGTTTATATTTAAATATCTATATTACATGCATATATGTCTACAAACAGGTTTTTATCTGTTGTTGTACGCAATGAAGTAACGCATATGATGACACACATACTGACCTCTGAATACACGACTACCGAACATAACTTATCAACAAAGATTATCTGCTCGAATCTAGTTAATCAACTAGTGTATCACATAAAAGTGGGTCTGGATTTGGAATATGAGGATATTCGGTGAATTTCACATAAAAGTGGAAAAATGACTTCTGATTCGGAAACAAAAGCACTTTTGGATAATGGCCAGGATCCTGGACAGCCTGCTGAACCAGTTCAATATGCGTCTTTGGGATGTAATCAAGACGTCGCCATACGTGTTATTGTGATAATCCTATTTGTAATAGGGTTAGAAATGGGAGGTTTGACTAAAAACCAGTATGTGTATAAATGGATAGAGACAAATTCAAATTCAACCAACACTGCATTAAATGCTTCCCATGAAAACTCACCGACCACATCACTGGATCCATGTGGAAGCAACATCAGTGCTGGAAATGAAAAGACCGACCAGTCGGAGGCAACCTTGTGGCTGTTGTACTTTTCCTTATGTGAACACGGCATATCTATTCCGATGATACTGCTCTATGGTTCCTATTCGGACTTTGTCGGCAGGAAACCATTAATGATAATTCCCTGCATTGGAAATTGCATTCAATATGCTATTAAAGCTTTCATTGTGTACAAAAATCTTCCATTGGTCTACTTCTTTATTGCTTACGTGTGTATAGGGCTATGTGGTGGTCACTATCCGTTTTATTTGGCCATGATGGCGTCAGTAGCGGACAAAACCGATAGCAACAACACGAGAGCCTTCGGTATCGCGATAGTTGAAGCAGTGATTGGGGTTGGTGTATGTGCCGCCCAAGTTGGGACGGGGTACCTCATCAAAGACTTCGGGTACATGTATCCTATGGTTGCAACATCCGGGATATTTGGTTTGTGTTTCTTTATTGTAGTGTTCGGAGTATCGGACACGCGTTCACCTACATCAACCAAACATATCACATTACTTGTTTATCTGAAACAAATTTTCGGAATGTTTCTCAGCAAATCTCATATCGCCACTGGCAGTGTTTTCACATTCAATATGACAATGCTATCATTTTTTCTATTGTATATGGTAGCAACTGTTTTCAACACTATAGGAACGCTTTATGAGCTTCGTTCGCCATTTTGCTGGGACTCAAGAACAATAGGATGGTATGGATTTGGAACTGATATTGTTCAGTACGTATTTGGTCTGTTTGTTGTGAAGGGACTTCAAATGTGTCTTTCACACGGAGCAGTGATCATATTAGCCCTCCTGTCATCTATAGCTACCTGTGTTATCACTGGACTTGCCACTTCTAGTCTGATGCTGTATATAAGTAAGTGTTACGTTATTCTTTCTCGAGCTAGTTATTATACACTTACACCGACTTTATTTTCTTGCATGTGGGACAGGAGAGTTAAAATGGAAAAGGCCTGAATCCAGATTAGGAACTGGAACCTCCGAAATTCCACAAGTTCTACACGGACACGATTGTAAATTAAGCCTAGAAGTCACTGTAGTCATACCACCCAGTCCCGCTCGTCTCACTTCCCAAACTATATTTTTATAACCCAGGTTCATTTATCTTCTGCACAAGTGTATAACACAGGTTTTGAACTAATAACTGATAAATAATTATCCGTTAAAATACAACCTTTTAACATAATTTCCTATGTTAAAATCATCATAAATGAATAATGTTTAGTAATTTATGATATATTTTGATAACCTCGACTTTTATTTCAGGCTCTGGAGCGGGTATTCTGTCTGTCATGGCAAGGCCTCTTCTCCGAGCTTTCGCCTCCAACATGATGGATAAAGATAAACAAGGTATTCTACTTCAGTAAAGCTAATGAGAGTTAGTTATACAATGTTTGAATGGTCACGGTAATTTGATAATAGGATTATTCTCAAATCTCACCAGATAAGACTAATTATTACACTTGTTGACATCAGCCATCTATTCCTTCTTATGGGCAAACCTATCAAATTTATGACAATTATGTTATTATCTTTATCAGATTGATATAAGATGATTCTAATTAAAATAACTGAACGTTCTCCCCACTAAGGTATATATAACCTGCCAAAGCTCGTATAATGGTATATGGTAGGCAAGACTACGATGACTAAAGCATAAGAACAAAAAGAAGTTATTTTCGAAAAGGTCATTACAGAAATTGTTCTGGTCTTTGTTTTGTTTTTAAAGACTGCAAATACAATTATCAAATCATGTACATTTGTAACATGACAACCTTAAGACGGTTTTGCTTTAATTGTTATGCTTTCAACTATAGATCTATTTTGCAATTGTAATTTTAAAGTTCATTGTTCCACATAAACATAACTTTACAAAAAAATCTATATTGTTTTATTTGCAAGTTCAACTATTCCAACTATTCTAATTACAATAAAACTAGTATTTTTTAAATTTTATTTTGTAAATTGAAGGTGCTGTGTTCGGTAACATATATGTGATAGAGGACGTATGTGGTATGCTCGGCAAGACCCTCTTCAGTGAGATATATGCCCGGACTCAAACATACATGGCGGGTTTTGTATACCTTACCATGGGAGCGTTTTATTTACTCTCACTCATCATATTCATGTAAGTACTCTCCTCTAACATTCGTTCGAATTTTAAAATATCATTAATGGCATTATAAATAGTTATATGAACCTATGTTTGAAAATTATAAAATAAATGTATTTCAAACAGTATTCGGCTTTACCATATGGAAAGACGTAAGCACAATGCGAACGAAATGTCACATATCATTTAACCTTTAATACTGTATTTAATATCGATAAGTTAAGTATTAGAACTGCTATAGCTGTTAACCTTATTTTTGCGTGCATCCCTTTCCTTCTATGAAGTATGAAACCTTAGTTCGAGCTTCTTACACACTTTTTTCCTTTCCAATAGATTCTTGCTCTGTTACAAACACGGAAAGAAGAAAAACCTCCGGATACAAAGGTGACAACAATTGTCATACATTTTATTGTTTCTTTCAAATAAATTGAAATCTTTTCACAAAAATAATATTTGTTCTTAACTTACAATGCTATACCAAGACAACCGTTAAAACAAGCCAATTTGATTTGAGGCTCGGTTAAAGTGTGTTGCAGGGACGGACTACCCTTCATGACCTCACTTGGTGTCACCTACAGAGGGAACTCATGCTCCACGTGTATTTTCTTTGTTTTGTAATAATCCTTGTGCTGATTGTTATCATTCGTTCTTGAGTGTCTTATCTATCTTGACCTTATGAGTTGATGCTGTGATATTTATTTCCATTTCATATAAATATTTGTTTTACTAAACACCGTTTAAAAAAATCTATTAGAAAGCAGAATAATTTTAGAACATTCCATACCTAGATGTTTACCAAATAATTGGTATTTATTGCTTATTAGTCAATTAAATAAAACTAATTATATAACCATATTTTGTTTTCAAGAATTGTTCCTGAAACATTAAAAATGTAAACATAGGTATTCTTCATAAAGGTATGAATTGGCATACAAGTGGTTATAATAAATCAGCCAAAATCAAAATGTCGTTCTTCAACGATAATCTTTTCGACAAATACTTTAGACATAACTGTAATTCGAATTACAAACTAATAAAAATCATTCAAAATATCAACAAAGGAAATGTTAATACGGAGATGACTAAAAAAAATAAAAAAAAATAAAAAAAATAAGACCAAGTGTACCGGTATAGTAAGAGTGTTATGCTTCATCGACGAAAACCACCATGCAAGTAATAAAACGTTCTAACCAAGAGAGCTGTACATGTTTCAACGAAAAAACAATGGACACTTGTTATCAAAAACGTTAACATTTATACTGCAAAATGTAGAGACAATTTCCTTGAGAACACAATGGCAACCATATAATCTGCACATAATCTGCCCAATAACAACAATGCTGATTCCTCTCAGTGTATTGTAAAACAGTAATGTTTTGTCGCACATTAACTTTCGCCAACGTTATGAGTTCAAATTTATTATAACAGAGACTATAAGAAAGGAATTAATAAACAGATCAGAAGGGCGAATTAAACACATGGTAAAAAGTGATTTTATTAGCAAAGGCCAAAAAGTTGGATTTGGCACTGCCCAACCACGTACTCATTTACAGCTAAGTCGACTGGAACAAGCGGAGTAAAGTATCTTGTTAATTTATGTTCTACCTTTGATTTACCTTTCAACAAGGTATCTTTACTTAATCTATGTACATTTGTATATGGATGAAACCCATAACATGATAAGGAGTACATTTGATATGAAACATTGCCGCGATTTGGTGACAGTCTGTGTAAACGATAACAAGAGTATGGTTATCAGTACAAGTAAATAGATAAATAAATGTTGTTGTTTTTTTCAATGCATTTATAAAAGAGAATACACAATATTTTATGCAAGCACTTTGTCTTTTTTAAAGATAACGAACATTGCGAACATATTTGATAACAGGATCTTGTTCTCTTCAACTTAATTAAAAAGTCCACAATAGTCTCGCTTATCAAAGGAGGCACGGTAGTTTAGTGGTAGGACGCCGGGCTCGTGACCGAAGGGTTGCGGCTTCGAGTCACGTCACGGCACTGTGTTGTATATTTGAGCAATATACTTTACTCCGCTTGTTCCAGTCTACTTAGCTGTAAATGAGTACGTGGTTGGGCAGTGCTAGAATTGTTGAATGCTAGCTGTAAGCGCCGAAACGGCAGCACCGGCTAGTATGCTCCCAAGGGAACTGAGAAAGATATTGGCTAATTGCAAAGGCCTTATAACCACGGATAATAATTTGTGAACCGCTTTGAGACGACCTAGGAACTAGGTTGTGATAAAGCGGTATATAAGATCCTCGAATTGTTATTATTATTATCACAACATAGAACATAAATACAATCGAATCCGCTGTCAGTGTAATTCAACTGTAGTAGAAGGGGGATCTGGTGTCAACCCCAGATATAGTGGGTATAATAACGTACTTCGCGTTGTGTTTCATTTTGTGATCTCATATGCCAGACACCTATTCCTCAATATCACTCTTCCACCATGTTCTTTTCCCATCAGGCGGGAGATTAGAAAAATGAAAACCAGAATCAGAAATAGCATGTCGGGGCCATTGTAGAATATGGACGGTAAGTAACATCAAAATTTAAGTTTAATAACAAAGTTTGCACCAGTAAGAGTAAACCTGAGAGCCTTTCTAGATAAACATCCTAATTCATGTATCACAAACTATTTATCCCCACCACCTGCCCTTTACATTAATAGCCAATCTTACAGCTAGTTATATCCTAGCTTTTACACTCACTAGTCAAGATCCTATATTTACCCCTAAAGCTGATAAAACTTCCAACTAGGCGTTGTGAGACATCCATTTCTAATGCCAAACGGTCTATTTAATACTTAACAGGGAGAAATATATGAAATGTACTCAGTCCTGTGTCAGCTTCATTGCTGTGTTTCTCCACACTTAAACTATATTATATATATATATATATAAATCAGATGTTCTATACACTGGCTGTCAAACCGAGAAGTCTTGTTAATTTCCGTGCGGCATGCCCAAACTAACATGTGGTAACTCCACCCATGGCCCTATACTGGGTCTCTCAGGCCTTCCGACCCTTATTACTAACGTGGCAGTTAACCCATCCTTACCTGGACATGGTTATGGTTTATTTGGCAAGCTGTCCAGCTCTTTCTGCCCTGCGTAGGTGAAGAAACCGGCTTATACATACCGCGGACAGTTCTCATTGGCTATTCACTCTGAACCTAGCCAATGAGAATACGCGTGCTATAAGTTTACATCACTACAGCATGTTCCAATATGGCTGCCTACTAGCGAAAATACGACCTAACAAAATGACAGAAGTGCTATATCTACCCTGTAACAGCCCAAGTACAGCTGGTATTTACAACCAACACTCGTACTTTAGCTATCCTAATGTACTAAAATACTTTAAACTAGCTATCTGATATATCTAGTCACTAACCCGTCTCGCCTACACAACAATGCGATCGAGATGTGTACAATTATATGAAATATTGTCTTTCATTTGCTTACATATGTACATATCACACAGATATAGATACCCAAGGCAGCCGATAACACCGGATAGCTAGATATCGGACGGATAGTTTGTATACACATGTACATTCCTCCGATAAATGTGATTATTTAATTTATTTGATTTTGTCGGTCGAGGGTGATGCGGAAGAGAAGGCAGGACCCTGTATGTTAAAAGATGGATACTGTTTCGGAGAATAAACCATTGTTAGTGAATACCGATAGGGAGGAAGAGAAAATCAAATCTACAAACAGAACCCTGACAACTCAGGTGATTTTACGTATGTGTATGACGTTTTTATACATGGCTGTCGCGGAGCTTGGAAGCCTTAATCAGACCCTTTACGTTTATCAACGAGCGTCGGAGTATAACAGGGCAAACAATCTCACATCCGTAAGTCAATTAAATGCAACAAGTGCATGCGGTTCGAACCAAAGCCAAACATCTGAGAACGTAAACCAAAAGCTGGCGGCAAAATGGACGTGGTATTTCAGTTTGATTTCACATGGTTTTGGCACTCCATCACTACTTTTGTACGGCCTGTATTCGGATTTTATCGGCAGAAAACCGCTTTTGATAATTTCACTTATGGGTGATGCTCTACGCTACGGTATGATGGCATTTATAAACTACAACCATTTGCCATTTGTGTTCTTTATTGCGCCTTATGCCGTGTCAGGCATCACTGGTAATAGCTATCTGTATTTTATTGCTAATACTGCCGCCATTGCTGATAAAACAGGCTACAATCAAACAAGAACAGTGGGGTTAGTTGTCTTTGAGGTTTTAATTGGATTAGGAGCAAGTGTAGCCAAAATAGGGGCGGGATATCTGATCCATTATAGCGGATATCTTATGCCTATGCTCATATGTCTAGGAGCCTTTCTATTTTTGGCAATATTTGTTTGCGTTTTGGTCGAAGAGACCATAACCACGGTGTCATCTAAAAATCTGACCTTTTACAAAGGTGTTAAAAGAATATTTGGATTTTTCTATGATAAGACAACGGTTATTGGAAACAAAAATGGACATTTTATGATGGCTTGGTCTGCTTTCATAATTATTTATTTCGCTCGAAATTCTGCGTATGGAATAACAACACTATACGAATTGAAGTCTCCATTTTGTTGGACTTCAGAAGAAATTGGTTGGTATGGTTTTGTCAAGGATATGGTTGAATTCCTTTTAGGGATGTCTATCATGAAAATATTACAAAACTGTGTACAGGATATACATTTAGCTACACTTGGATGCTTGTCAAACATTGGACTAAATATCGTTACTGGTTTTGCAACAACCAAATTTATGATGTATGCAGGTAAGTATTTTTCTGTACATACGTTTATCTATTCAAAATTAAAATAAATATTCTGGAAATATGCTAATTAATTTTGTAATTATAGAATTTCGATTTCCACAGCCCAATTACCATAACTATAACCAAAACACAGGGTTATCCATCTATCAATTATTTTGTTTTAAAAACAACAAGGTTTTTAATATTTACGGCATTTCAGGTAGTATACACTATACCTAATATTATCATTAATTATTAATGTATCATTATATATTAAACATCTCATGACACATATATATATTAATTTATATTTTTCATTATTTTGCAGCTTTAGGAGCCGGGGTACTTTCGGTTGTGACGTTTCCTATCATGCGTGCTATATTATCCAGATACGTAGATGTTGATAGACAAGGTAATATAGCAACACATTATCCGAAAAGTCTCCACCTAACCAGTCACATTACAAGGCGACAAGGAAGTTGAGTAAATATAATATATATTTACATAAGGATTATAACTATTTATAATCATTTTGTGAAGTAATTACAACTGAAATTATTTTATTTAAGTTATATTACTTTATAACCCAATATAAACAATTATATACTGTAAAAACACGTTTGAACGGTTCTTCTATTTTGAGTGTTTATCATGTGCTTATTACTATTCTTTGCTATGTATGATTGTCTAAAGTGGAAATTTATGCACGGTTCTAAATAGAAAAGTATATTTACTCAAACATAATAGTTTGGATATGTTCTTGTATGCTAAAATATAAGATTACTTTTTGGATATTTTTACATCATGTCTTTATCATGTGAGTCACATACAGCGCACCGTATTTAGTCCCTATAAAGTGTTTAGATATGCATGTTATTATCATAAACAACAACACAAATTAAATACATGACACTTTACCTTTACGGATATAAACTATTAATATAATAATATCATTCAAAATCTTTCATTCTAAGACGTTAAAATGGAAATATCATTACAATTGTACACCCTGATTTTATCGATAATATCAAGAATTTGTTATATTTCAGGAATATTATTTGCGAATTTATTTGTGGCAGAGAATATTTGCTCGTTGGTCGGAGGCAGTATATTTAATAACCTTTATTCTGAGACAGAGGATTGGATGCCGGGGCTGAGTTTTTTCGTAGTAGGCTCTATCTTTATCGTACCTCTTGGACTTTTAATGTAAGTGTTTTATCATTACTATCGAAAGTGGATTTGTAGTTTTTGCCATATTGTAAAACAATAACAAAAGAGGTAAATTGATAATTATGTTTTCGTATATGGCACATTCTTATGAAACCTGGGGTAGCGACAATGAAACGATTGTCAAAAACAACAACATTGAGATTCATCGCGCAATGAAATATATAGTATTTCCCCAAATGAGACCACGCAAGGCGACTATGTTACTTGCACATAAATCGAGACTAACAACTATACTTAAATGTAACTGTTACAATCAAAACTTGTTTAAATTGCAAATGATTCTCTCAACTTGAAGCCAGAAAATATCATTGTGGGATGTATTTATGAATTACAACGTATTAAGCTAGCATCAGTTACCTCTATGCAATCCGTTATGTTAAAAATTACAAATATCTTTTTCATTTAAAATTAAAGCAAATGTCCTTTTTATTCATTATGTTTTCCCCGTTAGTTAACATCATGAGATTTCTAAGCATGCTTGTGAAGATGTATCCTCCGCAAAGCTAAAAACGCAAATAAAACACAAATGACTACATGTATTATTGGGGTGAATTGCTAAAATGAAATCGTATATGAATAAGTACAAAGCGAAAATAACATCTCTCTCAATGAAGCGTAGCTACCTAATTAAAGCAAAAATACCCAGGTGTGAACGATTGTGATTTAAATTCAAAATTTATAAAAAAAAAAGTAAGCACATTATTTAAAAAGAAAGATTTACACGAAAACCTTTGAAAGAGCAAAAGGGATATAAGACTAGGTGATCCAGAACAATAGGAATTTTCTGCTTACCTTATAGTAATAACAATACAACATGACGCTCTAATGATCATAATACAAAAACGTGGATATTAATATCGCACAGGGAAGTTAAATATTCCCAAACGAGCACAAAACACATTTTTCAATAATTCTGAACGTTTTCTCTCAATTTCAATTTCAGCTCCTTGTTTGTGTCCACACGATAGTTGAATACTTACCGATGACAAGACTACAGAATTTCTTCATCATTTTAAAATAAACAAAGTTGTGAAATCTGGATCTTTCATTTTTTATCCTTTATCCTGTCATAATGTTTGGAATCCTAAGTAAAAATACTGACATTCTAAGTGTTATTTATCAAAACAGACTGACTGATGTGTTGAGAAATGAGTATGTCTTTTAGAGAATTTGAAACCATAACAAATATAAAATAATATGTGTTATGAATAATGATTTTGAGTTTGTTTATTAATGGACACTGTTTTTCTGAACGAAAATAGATAATATGCTAAAGAGGGATAGTTTTTATCAAAATTGTAATGTGTTAGGCACAAATGTAGCATATATAAACATATGTCAACAACTATATTTATCTTAAAATCTTAGGCTTCAGTGAAGCATCTATTGAGGCTTAGCATTAAAATGTTACTGAATAACAAGCGACGGAGATGAATTGTGATTAATAGTGGAGCTACGTTAACAAATAATCACATCTTCTGTGGATCTTCACATTCTATTTTGTATGATTTATTCCTGTTATTTATTAAGATTTCAGGATCATATGAAAATTTGTCATTCTCTCAGCTTGTTTTTTTCTAAGCTTGTTTACGTAATAAAAACAGTTTCTTGCACTTACACAATTACAATTAGTAAGCATTCAGAAACTGCATCTCTGCAATATGTTAAAACATTGAAATCAAAATTTTAAATAGTAACAAACACTCTGTTTACACGTGCCACAGTAAATATATTGACTGTCAATTCTCTGCTTAGATCATTGCAAGAAATGACATTGTACCTTTACCATATGTACCTATATCACAGTCAACATCTGGTGTGTATCTAACATAAACATATAAGTGTATATGTGCTGTGGTAATACTGTTGATAAAACTGAATGATAATAGAATATTTATAGTCTTTGTTACTTAAAATGATAGAGTTATATCTGCGTACACATTATTACTAACCCTGTACACTAGCAGTTCATGCTATCATTACCAAATATATAGAACAAAGGGTATAATGATAGGTAAATATGTCCGAAAATATATTATGAAATGTATCAAATGAATAACCTAATTTTATGAATAATGCGAATTATTCAATTCCATATTAAGGTGTATTTTAAACCAATAACAACACTTCCAGTCACATTTGGTAGAGAAACATAATTTTCTCTCACTGACTGTTCATACCATAAAAACATACACTAGCCAAGTTGTGGCTATCGAAGCTACGAGTTTAAAGGAGACCTACATCACAAGCGATGAGAATAAAACAAAAATTGGGTTGGTTTGTTGGTGCTTAATATACCATTAACACCTACGGTCATTTAAGAACGAGCCAGGTATGGGTGGTAGAGGGCAAAGCCTCGGGTCTCCTGCTCAATATTTCATCCCTTGGGTTTGAATGACCTTATCCAAACCTTACATCAGGGATGGATTCTATTAGTCTCACCATAGGGTTGAGACGGGGGGATTCCCCTATTCATAATTGTATGACGTCAGTTCAACAATACAATGACGTCACGTCAACCTTGAATTTAGCATGAAACGTTATCATTACATTGTGAATATGATACACAATGGGAGACTAGGGTAAGAGAAAAAGAATAGTTCACTCCCTTGTGGATGAGATAGGGGAATCTCAACCCTCGAGGAAAGATTCTTAAGTTGCCAAACACTCTGCAGAACCTCGTGTTTGGCAATTTAAGAATCTGCCCCCTCGGGTTGAGATACCCCTATCTCACCCCCAAGAGGGTGAGAGATTCTATTAATCTTTAACCCTCGGGATGATATTCTCGATTGTATTGCCCGTGGCAAAGCCTCGGGTAAAACAATCAAGAATATCAACCCTCGGGTTGGAGATTTCTCTGTCACATCCTGAAGGTAAGGGACGATTCTATCAAAAAATCAGCTGAGTCTACCGCTTGGTATCTTAAAAGAATAGCGTGAGATATGCAGGTGTTATTGCACCTATACAATTTGGTTATAGATACGGTACACAAACATAAATTACACTGCAATATATGGCTGTATCTTCCTCATGTGATCTATCTATGATGCTGGGGGAACAAAAACGGTAATTTCTGTGATAATCATTACTAGTATCATCAATTGTTATGTATCTGAAGAAATGAGAAACCTTCACGAGAATACTTGCCCAACGGATGTCACACAAGTATTTCTCGTTTCTAAGCTAAAGTTTATTTCACGCTGCATGCATCCTTAACTCTGCTTGTAGAAACTCAATCAATAAAAACAATTCAAATAAATCTGGGTATGTTTTATTAAGTCTATGAGAATTGGAAGGGAAAAGTATCAGAGATAAATACGTTCATAATTTAAATAATGGATACTATCTTCCTATCGGGATATCCGGGGGGGGGGGTAAGTATATATAACATTGTGAATACCAGGTTACAGTTAAACAAAAGCTCATAAATTCTTTCATCAACGAATTGTCCACGGGTCAATCAGGTGTCAGGGATTTCCTTTTGTGTAATTCTATTGAATTGACTTTAACAAGTTTTGCAGAAGTCGCTGCAACTTCAATTCCCTTTTGCTGGGTGGTGTTGGTCCAGGTGGGGGCTTTGTCCTCCTTGCCGTTTTGCAGGTGGTGGAGGTGGTGTTGATGGAGGTGGTGTTGGTGGTGGGTGTACTAAAGTAGCAGAAATGAATACAGTAGTCTATTTGTTTAAACATACTCTTAATTTGCCTGGTAGTTTTACTTCGTTTCTTCGATTATGTGTCAATCGCATATGCATGCAAGATTGAACATCTAATAAATATAACCAAATGCTATTACGAATTTCTACAGACATTATGCGTTATGTATTCATAAATGTCATACATCCTTTAGCTGTTGTAATTACAATAAGATGGACAAATTATTACTACAAAGCAAAAGTATATGACTTTCCATTCTTCTCTGTAAACAAATCAAAACGCTAAAATGCATATGGACTTCTTAGTGGTTGCACTGTCAGTTTCCATGATTAGTGGTTGTTCATGTATAACAAAACTTATTTGACAAACGCGGTTATTGGAAGACGAAAATGTTCGTGTTATTAACACAGTGCCGGTACAGTACGGTTAGAGATTGAAACACTGTTACCTACCATCACAATTCTCCTCATACCAGTTAGCGATCTCTCCGATGAACACATCCAGTTTTCCATTCAAAACAGGATCATTCGTGTCTACAAATTCAAATACAATGCATCAAATCAACAATTATTTCCCAAATGCATGTTTTTTAAAAGAATTATTTCTTCATTTTATTTATTGATTTAATTAGCTTGATTTTATTTCCAATCATTCAATAATGCGTCCTAAACTACCCTATAATATAATTACACAAATGTCACACCTAAGTTGGCTAAGGGAGTGGATCGAGACGATTTTTAGTGTTATTTACCTGTACACAAATGCCACACCTAAGTTGGCTAAGGGAGTGGATCGAGACGATTTTTAGTGTTATTTACCTTTACACAAATGTCACACCTAAGTTGGCTAAGGGAGTGGATCGAGACGATTTTTAGTGTTATTTACCTGTACACAAATGTCACACCTAAGTTGGCTAAGGGAGTGGATCGAGACGATTTTTAGTGTTATTTACCTGTACACAAATGTCACACCTAAGTTGGCTAAGGGAGTGGATCGAGACGATTTTTAGTGTTATTTACCTGTACACAAATGTCACACCTAAGTTGGCTAAGGGAGTGGATCGAGACGATTTTTAGTGTTATTTACCTGTACACAAATGTCACACCTAAGTTGGCTAAGGGAGTGGATCGAGACGATTTTTAGTGTTATTTACCTGTACACAAATGTCACACCTAAGTTGGCTAAGGGAGTGGATCGAGACGATTTTTAGTGTTATTTACCTGTACACAAATGTCACACCTAAGTTGGCTAAGGGAGTGGATCGAGACGATTTTTAGTGTTATTTACCTGTACACAAATGTCACACCTAAGTTGGCTAAGG